TTAATATATCACACGTATTCATTATTTTTATATTTTCTACACAATTCTTCATGCCTTACATAAATGACATTTATTCAAATTATTTTACAAAACAAACACAACCATAATACTCCATTAATTTTTGTTCAAATTTTAAAATAACTGTGTTAATTCAATAGTATTTATTCTTTAATAACTATTTTTAAATTAGTGTATTGATAGTTTGCTTCGATGTGATTTAAAATTGATTTAAAATATATTATTGATTTAAACTTTTGTTTAAATATTACTTTGATACGATGGTTTGTGAAAAATAGTATATTTATATTAAATTGTGATATTAATCTGACTTTTAAATGGTAAAATATCTTATTTTTTTATTATTTTTTTATTTTAAATTTTGTAATCTAATTATTAAATATATGTAATATATATTATATAAAAATAATATTTTATAGTATATAATATTTTAAAAAATAATAAAAACATACACAAATAACTCACCATTAAAAATATATATATATATATTTGTATAAATGCTGGGTGGATAATTTAAGATGTATGGATTATTTAAGCAGGATTTATTTTGAATTCAAATACATGTAATAATTGAATGGTTGTTTATTCCAAAATATTTGTATTTATGTAAGAGAGATAAAACGGTGAGAGAAATTGATAAATTCAATGAATCGTTTTTTGTTTTATTTTTTTTTAAAAAAAATTATTTAATTAGGTATTTAAATACGTAATTTAAAATATAGCCAAAGATAAAATAAGAAATGAAAGTTGCATTAGGAATAAAATAATACATAGTAAATCAAAATTGTTTGGCCATTAATAACAAATTTCAGTTGAAGATAACTTGTTTTTTTATAATTTTTTTAATAAAAAAAAATATTGGGGGTGTCTAATTTATTTTGTGTTTAATGAAGTATAATATATTTTATTAGAACAAATAATATAATTTTTTTGAATAATATAACTTTAAGTTATGTCTCTGAGAAAATTTATTGGTATGCGTTTGTATTTTCAAGTTTGCTGTACTTTTAAAAATATCAATTTATAATTACTTTTTATTAAAAATATAATTTTCAATATATATATATATATTTAATGCAAAACATTCATGATACACCAATATGCAATATATATAATAATTAAGTTGACGATTCGGTGCTCATCCAATTAAATAAATATGATTTTGATTTGATCGAATAAACCTTATCACATAAAAATTAGTATTTATAATACAACATATATTATATCATAATTTAGTATATGATATCTTATAATACTGTATATATTGTACTATATTAAAAAAATATACTGATATATGTTGATTCGTCGAAATTAGAAATTTGATTGAGTTAGTATCATTACAATATAATAATGTGTATATAGTTTCACCATTTTTGTTGATATTTCACCATTTTTTCAAATTTTACTATTTGAACTATGCGTTTTTTTTTTTTGAAAAAAATACATTTTTCTTCTTACAAAACATCTCATCAAATATTATTTTAATACTAAATTCAAACCAAAATTTTACCAAACTTATCAAAAGAAATATACCTCTATATTTTCTATTAAATTTAATTTATATTTTTTATGGGTAAACTGTTTTTTTAGTCCCGTAACTAGACACATTTATCATTTTAGTCCCGTAAGTGGAGCCTGTCGCAAACTAGTCCCATAAATAAAAACTTTTCGCTGTTTTAGTCTTCCGACGCCGGAGACGCCCGCGTGGCTCGCCGGAGGTGACGTGTCCGCCAGGTTAGCGACACCCGGCGGACACATGGATTTATTTATTTTTTCATTATTTATTTATTTATTTTTATTTTTATTTTTAAATTGGACCAAATAAAAAAAATACAAATAAAATTAAAAATAAATTAAAAATAAGTTTTAAAAAATTTAAAAAAATTTCGTGTCCGCAAGGTCAGCGACACCTGGCAGACAGTCACATCCGACGAGGCACGCGGGCGTCTCCGGCGCCAGAGGACTAAAACAACAAAAAATTTTCAGTTATGAGACTAGTTTACGACATACTCCACTTACAATTAAAATGATAAGGGTTGAGTCATGAGACAAAAAAAAAAATAATAATAATAAAAAAATAAAAAATAAAACAGTTTACCCATCTTTCATTATATATATATATATAGTTACTTTGTTCGTCTGCATTAATTATGTTACAATGTCAGGCAAGGAAAACAAAAAAAATAGAAATATTTTAACATAAAAATATTAGTATGTAAAAAAGTAAAGTTGAGATACTATAGAAAATTTATTAAATAGCTAATAATAATGTAGTAGGATAAGTAAAAAAAATAATTAAATATTAGTATTATTTGTTAAAGTAAGAAAAATAAAATTATAAGTGGATAAAATTATTTACCGTAAATGAATTATGCATAAATTTAACGGATAAAAAGAATACTATCTCCGTTCCGTATAAAGAACACAATTTATTTTTTACGTAATTGTATTTAACATTAAAAATATAATAATATTTGCATAATTTACTTCACGAATATCATTGTATTTGTATTATAAAAAATGAATAAAAGTATTTTTGTATTTTTTTTTATTAATTTGTCTAACGTATTGATATAATAATTAATATTTAAAATAAATATTTAAAAAACTTATTGCACTCTTATTATGAAACATAGGTGGTATAACATAATTATCCCGGATAGAATAATATTCAAAAATAAGTATTACTCTCTTTGTCCGGCTCTAAAGGTCTCATTTACCTTTTACGTCATTATACTTAATATTAAAAATATCATTATATTTGTATAATATTTTTGTACAAATATTATTATAATAGTATTATAAGATAATGATAGAAAGTATTTTGGTCATTTTTTTTTTAATTTGTACTACAATTTCATATAATAATTAATATTTAAAGATCAATAAGTAAAAAAAATGAGACATTTAGAGCCAGACGGATGACGAGTGTATTATTATTATTATTATAAATAATAATATAAGCTTTTAGAGTTTTTCAAAATTATTATTTTTTTTTTCATGTTTTATTTAGGTTTAAATTGGAAGATGTAGCTGTGATTTTAAATTTAAACAATATTTGATTTAATATTTTATGTATATATATCTTAAGAGAACTGTAAGATTGTTTTGAAAATTTTGCTAAGGAAATACACTGAAATTTGAGTTTGAATTTTTTATATTAGAGTTTTAGTTTGTGTTTATTATTTATTTATTTATTTATTTTATTTAAGTTAGTTTAAATTTTAATGTGATATTTTGTAAGAAAAAATTAATATTTTTTTTGTTATTCAATTATATTTTCACATTTTTAGACACTTATTTTAATATAAATATACACATTTTATTATTTATTTTATTTTATAAATAGTACGATTTCTTTACTACAGTAATAAAAATCATATGGCTATTTTACCTAAAATATAACACATAACAACGTATACATAATTTATTTTTTATTTTTTTAAAAAGACACTCATATTATTTTTGTCAATAAATACTTTTTAACAAAATATATCAATTATGATACAATACTGCAATAGTATTGCTCAGTTTTAAATGTTGTTATAAATATTAAATAATAATAGTATTTTTTAATTTCATAAAAATTATATCAAAATTTAAATAATACATTATTTTAAAGCAATTTTTTGTTAGTCATTTCTTTTAAACAGAACACATCATTATTTTGAAGTAAGAATATATTTATTTGTATCTTTAAAGATATTTTTACTGTATAAACTCTGGTAAAAAATACTCTCCCCCGACCTACCATGTTATTTTTCTTTTTTAAAAATAATTACACACTTTAATCTCATTTTAAACATTTTAATTTTTTTAAAATTTTAATTAAACTAATTAGTAATCTTAATCTTAATTTATAATTATTCCTATTATAGGATAATAATTTTCACTAATACATTTTTATTTATCTATTTATTACACTCCTCCTAAATTACTGTATCTACGTAGACACCGTATCTGGGATGGAGATAATATATATATATATATATATAAATATTATAAAAATATAGTACACCATAATTTTCCATTCCCCTATAAAGTATTTAAAAGTAATAAAATTTTATTAGGTAAATTGAAATGCATATCAAACATATGGAAAATATATTTAATCACTCAAACCTAATCAAAATTATTGAATTTCCAAATATATATAAAAATTAACTAGTTTGAATATTTCAAACTTGACCTACTCCATGGAATTTAAAAATTAAAAAAAAAAATAATTATCATTACACGCAGAAAACTTCAATGAATTAAAATCTGTCAAAAAAAGCTAACTAAATAATTAATTGAATAATTAAAAACATTTAATTACCATTTACATCTTTTTCTTTCATTTTCAAATAGTAATAAAAATTATTATTAGCGCATCTGCAAGCAATCACAAGTTGAAGATAATTATTAAATAAATTATTATTATGTTTTCGTACTGTAATAATTATAATTGCTGCTCAATTATTGTTAATTATCTTTTTTTTTTTTTTTTTTTAAAAAATTATATTAAAAAAATATTATTATTATTTAAATATATTTATTTGGAGTAATTGATGCTGAAGCTTTATTTAGCCCTAAAAGCAAAATGCCCCATTTATGTTATTGTTGTTTTATTGCCATTATTATTATCATTGCTGCCCTCAATTTGGTCAACAAATCATTTTTTTAATTCATAATATTTTATTCCTTTTTATTTATTTATTTATTCTACATCGAAAATTGTTTTATTTTTGTAAACTACTATTTTCCTTTTTATTTATTTTTGAAATATTGAGTATATTTGCTTTTATTTTTTTAAATATTACGAGCTTTTTGTATTATTTGCTACGGAGATTCTTGGGTGAGACATGGATCAGTACACCGGGTGTAATCACCAGTGATGATCTGGGGCCCGAGTAAATCAACGGTGATGATTTATCTGGTGTTGAGATCCCGGGACCTTGTACGACCTTCCTCTGCTGCTTACCAAACCATTAATGGCGGAAATTCAACTTTACTTTCACCAAAAACAAAGCAGAGCTAAGAAACCAAAGCAGCAGAGGCAGCAGCAGCAGATTAATTACCCTAACTCTCTTAATCCTTGTAAGCCAGCTTGAAAATTTCTGGCGCCATTTGTTCTTGAAGCAATTTTTTCAAAAAAAATTACCGGGATATAAGAAGCTATTGAAGCCAAAATTCCTTGAGCAGTTAATCATCTGCTGTGACGAGAAGCCATGGAAATGGAGGACAAGGATAGCGCTGACTACGGTTCCCCGGGCGGAAGCTCCGAGGTTCACTCGCAACCGTCAAGCGGCGGAGCTTACGACGGCCAGGAAAGCGCCGCCGTCGCCGGAGCTACGGCGCCGGAAATAATGAATGCGGCAGCGAACATCGGCGTCGAGAAAAATGCCGGAGCAGTTACCTCACCAGCTGTAGCGTCCGGAGCCGGAGCAATCGGCGGAAGCGCCGCCGCAGGCGGCGGCACCACCGCCGGTAGCGGTGACTTATTGGGGAAAAAAAAGAGGGGAAGGCCGAGAAAATACGATTCGGAGGGGAATCTAAGCGCGGCTTATCTGAGATCAAAAACCGCCGCCGCGGCAGCGGCGGCGCAGAATCCATCTCAGCCTGGGTTCACGCTCTCAACGCCGCCGTCGTACGAGTTTCCGGCGGGCCCTAAGAAAGGCCGCAAGTCTTCTGGATTTGGGAACTGGCAAGCCCTCGCTGCTTTGGGTGAGTTCTTAAAAACCTCCATTGAAGATTTTTGGGGAAGAACTAAATTAGGGTTTTGGACCTAAGATTTGGGGATAATAATATTTTCTCAATTAGCCATCTCTATTTGCTCGATTTCTTGCGTTTGAGCTTAAGATCTGCAAAAAACGAATCCACTGTTCATAATTTAGGGATTTCCAGAAAAATATTCTCCCACCGATTTTGTTCTCTTCCTGAATAGATTTTCATCTACAGTGTAGTTTCTACTTTCTGCAATTACAATTTGTTTGAATTAGGGTTTACAGTTCTTGGAGATTCATTATTTTGGAATCTCTTGTCTGTTCAGGTGAGCTGTTCACGAACACCGCCGGCGGCGACTTTACGCCGCATGTAGTAACTGTACACACCGGAGAGGTATTTAACTCTTAGCAGATTCCGATGTTCTCATATTAGCAGATTCCGATGTTTTGGATCTCTTTCTTAACGGTAACAAGTTTGGATTATGTGTATACTAGGATGTAGCTGGGAAGATCCTTACATTTGCTCAAAAGGGGAGTCGAGGAGTTTGTGTTCTTTCTGCTAATGGATGTGTTTCCAATGTTACGATTCGACAGCCCGGTTCGTCGGGAGGACTATTGACATACGAGGTATGGTCACTTGCCCTTTGTTAGAACTTGTTAATTCGTTGCGAATCGATGCATTTTGTGTTTGTGAATTTGATTTGGTAGTCGAAAATTGATACTCATTCTTTAGCTGCATTTTCGATAGTTATGTTGCGATGCATTTGTCGTCCTACTTTTGGATATATTCTTACAAGTCCCCGGCATTGATTCTAGTCGATGTATGCAATATTCGTTTACCTACTTCATCTATTGATTTTTCTTCGTTCTTGCAATATTTGTCGATGTCAAGAACTCCTTTGTAATTACGACATAAAATGGTGTGTAATCTTGCAGGGCCGGTTCGAGATACTAACGTTAACGGGATCTTACACGATCTCGGATAACGGGGGAATCAGAAGCCGGACCGGCGGGTTGAGTGTTTCTCTAGCAAGCCCCGACGGTCGGGTGATTGGCGGCGGTGTCGCCGGGTTGCTCATGGCCGCTAGTCCGATCCAGGTTCGTTACACAATTTTCTTCTCGATGAACGGGTTGCTCGTAGATTTTTTAATATTAGCATTATATTGGGTTGTAGTAAAAAAGACAAAAATACTCTTATTACTTTAATATAAAAGTAACAATTATTAAATTAGAAAATGATAATCTTGTTTTGGGACTAATGAAAATGGAAAATGACAAACTTTTCAGTGGAACCGGAGGGAGTATATTGATCATCAAAATAAGAGAATTATATATATATAACAATATAAAATTGACTCGAAAGATTCAAATCTAAATAATCTAATTCATTCGATTTTTTTTAGTATCTTGGTTTCTATTATATCACTTTAGTTTGAAGCGATTGCATCTTATTTTGATGATCAGTATAATGCAATTTTCTAGTTTACCTAATTTATTTTCACAATGTATATATATATATATATATATTGTTATCCTCAATTCAATTTAATTCGATTCGATTTGTCAGATTGTAGTCGGGAGCTTTGTGCCGAACGGGTACAAGTTCCAGAAGAAGAAGCCGAATGCGGAGCCGAGATCGGCGTCGCCGACAGTTGCGGTGGCTGCAGCCACGGTGACGGCTGCGGTACCGTTGTCGCAGGCGCCGCCGGAAACGAACATTTACACGGCGACGGCGGCAGCGGCGGGGCGGTTTGGGTTTGCGGTGCAGCAGAGCCATCAGGGCGGCGGGGGAGAGGCGGAGAATAGCTTGAGCAATAAGGAGCACCCGAATTCGACGTCGACGGACACGACGACGGAGTGGAACGGGTCGAGGCCGAGCTCGGAGCCCCGACCCTACCCGGATATTAACTTATCCATACCCGTTGAGGAGCACTGAATTAATAATAATTATAATTATAATTATTATGCTGACATAGTGTGGTGAGGTACTGATGAGAGGAAGTAAGAAGAAGAGCAAACAAACAGGTTGAGCTTTGATCTGATTGTGTTGTAAACATGTTAGGACAGGACAAGAAAGGATTACTCTTTGCCCTTGTTTTTTGTTTGTTTGTGTTTTTTTTTTTTTTTTTTGTTTTAATGAATTTATGTGACTTATGTCTGATAGTTGTTTTGTTCCTCTGCTCTGGAAATCTCTCGATCTGTCCGTCTGTTTGTGTTTTGGTATTAATTGGTCATTTGGTTAAAAAAGAAAACTGCCTTAGATTATTTTTCATAAATTTTCTCCTTTTATTTTTTTATTTTTATTCTTATTATTTTTGAGGTGTTACTTTTTTGGTTTATTTAGATATTTTAGGGTGTGTTTCTTTAATAAAAATTTCTCAAGATTATGTGTTTTCTGAAAAGAATTATTTTTTTTCACAAAATATACAATTAAATATTATTTTAATATTAAATTTAAATCAATTTTTATCAAATTCAATCAAAAGTAACTTTTTCTTGTTCTATTTAAATTGTTTTATTTATTAATATATTAAAAAAATATAATATATTTGTTTCAACTTAAAATATTATTTTTATTATTTTTTTAATTCTATTTAATTTTTTTTTCTTAATATAGTAAAAGTATTTTATATACACATCAAATTATTCTTAATTTTAAACAAACTATAAAAATATTATTACTTATTTATATTTTGTAAGGAAGAAAATATTAAATTATTCTATATATTTTCACTAATCAATAAAATAATATTAATAATTTTTAATTTATTAAAAAAAATAAATGGACCAAGAATAAATCATTTGGAATAGAACGAAGGGACTAGTATTATATTAGTGAATATAATTTGAGGGGTTTTTAATATAGTTTGATTTTTGATTTTTGGATCAATGTAATCATTTCATTTCATAAAAAATTAGATCTAAACCATAAATCAAGTTAAAAAATCAAACCAAACTAAACTTAAAAAAATAGTACACCTTATAATTCGATAAAATGGTTAATGGTTTATTATTAAACAAGGTACTTGAATTGCAATTATTATTATAAAATAATATTATATATATTGTAAATTTGAGTTAAAAAAAAAAAAAAAACATTTAAAATTTATTGCAATGTTGATGTTTGGACCCCACATGGATTGTCGGCTAAATTAGTTTACGTACAAAATAAAACAAATACGAATGTTTGTCCAAATTCATACAAGAGGGAGACGAGTTTCCACATTGGAGTAATGTATCTATGGGTGGTTTCAAATTATTTTGATGTTTTAAGTTATTTTAAAATTTATAAAAATGTGAGTACAAAATAAGTTATTAAATACTCTCTCCTCCGGCTCCGGTCTCGCCACATATAACTAAGGCTAGACACGGTTCGAATATTTGTAAATATATAAGTATTTGAAATTCAGATTGAACAAATATTCGAAATCGCAAATCGAATTCGAACAATCGAAAATATTTGTACTATATGTCAATATTCGTATCGAACCGAGTACAAACAAATATTGACAAATAAATCTACTTTTGGAATTGAAATAAATCATTCTTAAGACTTAAGAACATTCAAAATAATACTCTATCTGTCCTAATTCAAAATATGTTTTTTATCATTTTTTTTGTCCAAGGCCATCTCGGATATTTTCAAGGTCCTGAACAAAAAATAAATAATAAGTCCTATAAACGAATATATATATTTTTTCGTTGGTGTGAAGTAGATTGTTGGGTCTAGTTTGCGATACATATCTTAACTATTATAAAATTTCAAAATATATATTGAAAACCAATAACTCAATAATAATAATTACAAATTATAAAGGCCAAGAATATATGATTAGTTTTTTTTTTAAAAAAATCTGGTTAGAATTTATTATAATTATGATTGAATTTGAAATTAATTTTAGAAAAACTATAGTTAGAGTTCATTAAAATTAGAATTGGAAAATTATAGAGTAAAATATGAGATAAAATTTAAATTAAATTTTAATATATCTTATAATAATAATGAGCTTTAAAAATATTTACGAATTCTAAAGATAAGGAAAGTAGAATTAATTTAGAAATTTTTTTGTTAGAATTTAATTTTAGAATGAAAACTAGATTGGGTAATTGTTAAGAAAAATAAAGAATAAAATCTAAATTAAATTGTAATATATATAATAATAGTAAGATAAAATAAAAAATACGGGCCCTTTTGAAGCATAGGCCCCGAGCAATTGCTCAGGTTGCTCTCGCTAAGAGCCGGTTATGTCTTTATCCTACTTTAAAGTATCTACTTCATATTTTAAAAAAAATAATCATACATTAATACCAAATACCATTTAATTGTTACTTAAATTACAAATATATCATTATGCATACAATTATTTTATATACATAAAATCAAAAGACAAAAATATTAAAAACTCTTACACACTTCCACTAATTAATAAAATACTAATATTTTTTAATCTACTGTAAAATCCCAAAATGCCCCATTGAATTGGAATGGAGGGAGTAATTGAAAAATAATATCGAAAATCACAGTCCATTTGGCACAACTGTATCAGTTTGAACTAAAAACAAATTAACATGAAACATAAAATACATTTAAGTCAAAATACAATATCCATCAAAATTTATCTGCATGTTGCATCTTTTCACACATGAACTCCTTAAAAAATAAAATAATATAATAAATTTTTTAGAAAAAATCAATAAAATAGAAAAAATAAACTGCAATTATAGTACAATAAAATTTTTAAGCTCGTTTTCATCCACAATTTGTAGATTACCCTTTTGAATCCAATCTTGTGTACATGAGTGCTTCAACCAACTTTTGGGTAAGAAAACTCCGAAAATGATCAATAACACGACTTCCCGTGCTTAAAGCTAATTCTGAAGCAACTGTAAATACTGGAATGACCGATACATCTCTTGCCATGCAAGAAATGGTCGGATATTTGGACCGCTTTATTTTCCAACAATACAAGATATTAAAGTTCGATTGGGTCATCTTTTTACATTCGTCATTCAAGTATTTATCCAACTCAAATTTCAACACACCATACACCTCAATTGCTTCAAATTTCTTCAACTTTTTTTGCAATTTTTTCTCAAAGTCATCAATCCGGAAAAAATTTGGTATAGCACTACAACAAACCATACTAGAGGGTTCCACTTCAATGTTAAATATTGAAGTGGAATTGTATTATCAAACACCATTCTCAAAACATCTGAATTGACCGAAGAAATTCTTTTGCTTCACTTTTCACATACATGCGATTATCATAAAATTCACCCAATGCATTTTATGTCGAGGATCAAGAATGATTGTAAGATAAATAATTGGATTAATATTTTTTCAATCTCCCCAACATTTAAAAAACTTCTCAAACATTTTGGAAACCATTGACCTAACTGATGGATCTGGATCTTCCACTACTGATTGAATATTATATGCAATACGATAAATTTATTTAATGTATTAATTCTCAGTTGCATACTTAGAGCTATAGATTCTAACAGTTGTATCATAAAAATACTTCAAAAAAGATAGAAATCCGCACGTATATGATCAATCATTCTATGTAGGTGGCACTCCTATCGTTCTTTTTCAACTCATCCTTATATTTGTCATCTTTAAATTTCAACAAATCAAACGTATTGTTATAAAAATTATTGACGAATCTAAGATATGAACAAAAATCCAAAATCATAAATATGATGACACCGAAATCGAGTATCAAAATTGAAATTAAATCCAAGTCTCGTGTAGATGCGATTTCCTTGAAGCGAATTCGGTCCGCCATCGGCCGCCTCCCAAGATAGAACAAATTAAACGGAATAATAGATTTTTTGAACCGAACCAGGAGATAGAAATTTTAGAGAGATTTCATAGAAGATTTTTTTGAGAGGAATTTTTTTTTTTTTTTGGAGTAGAGAATTTTTTGAGATAGTGGAATAACGTATATCTTCATAAACAAAATAAAAATAGTAGAAAACTATGGTATTTTTTAAGAATTGTGTATGAATTTAAACATAGAGAAAAAGTTAATTATTCATAAAATATCACCCCCACGCCACGCATGCACGTTGCAAATCAATTGCAACCTATTTTTGATTATTTTAATTTTTTTTTTATTTACTCAAAGTTTTTTTCCAATAGCGTAATTAGAATGACCAAGAATTGGTGAGAAGCTATTTTATTTTATTTTTTCTTTTTTTCTTGTGCAAATTCCAATTATCATCAATAAAATAGGTCATTACTAACATATAACTCAGATGTTGGCAAGATGTCCAAGAAGTGTTCTAAATGCAATCTTCGTGATGCAATTTCTAATCGAGGTTGAATGCAATCTCTAATAAGTGTTCTTCATGATAAAATTCCTAATCGAGATTGAATAACCCTAATGCAATCACGAAATCCTTATAATTTTACAGTTCTAAATGACATCTCATCAACAAAAACCCATTTAGCAAGAGCTTTACGACATTGTTGGTGATCAAATGTCAAGCAGGAATTAACACCAAAACATTCATTTTTTTTTTTTTTTCGGTTGATAATGCATTGTTGTTTGTTTCAACGTTTTACCCATATGCCCATCATCCTCAACCTCATTCATAATGGTCTTGCACTTGTTCAAATGATTTAACATAGTACTAGTACTTGTGCCTAACTTCGATTTGCATGTAATCAATGCAGAACAATGGTTGTATTTTACATTATCTCCAGATTCATTTTTTCTAAAATTATCCCTAGTAATAGATCGAGATTTAGATATTTTAGGAGCAAGACAAATTATCTGCCGCCTGAGTTTGAAAATCCTCTGATTCCGATTGAAATTGTGTTTATGACATAGAATATTTCATAGGATCACCGCATGTTTTTGAACCTATTGATTCCATTAAACATATATAAATAAAATATACTCTCTCCGAATCGTACTAAGTATTCATTTACTTTTTGCGTATTGATATTTTAATATTAATTATTATATCAAAATATATTACAAATCAAGGAAAAATGACAAAAATACTTCTATTGGTGTCTTATAATACTAATATAATGACATTGATACAAGAAATTATACAAATATAAGAATATTTTTAATGTTAAATACAATGACACAAATAGTAAATAGATATCTTGTTATGGGACGGGGGAATAATATTTT